CCAGGGGGGAGTGAAACAGAAAGTGAATTGTCTTATTATTTCATTTTCCTCTGGGCTCATTTTTTGAGGGCCCCCGTAAAAGTAAAACAAATCCAGCTAGTCGAGGAAATGAGACATGACTTTCTCTTAAATAAGGAATCCACGAGGTGGGGATTGTAGCTACCCAGGCTTAATAACCAGTTTCTAAATAAATAATGAGATGTCAGAGCTGAATACTCCCATGGCAGAAAGTTGGGCAAATAGTAAAAAAGTACATTCTCACTGCACAATTATCATTAATTGTTAAAAACCTGATATACTCTTTTGACCTGCAGTATTAAAACCATCTTTAGAGGTTATTAGTTTCGAATGAAAATTAAAATAAACCTGAATTTTATTAGTAATGGCACCACCATGTATTCCTTACCTCATAGTAACTAATATTCCATTTGTCACTCAGTATATATAAATAGTGTCACTTCTCTACGATTGTTACTGATAATTTGTCAATGAGTCAGATGGGTGACCTGCTCCCTATGGAGTCATGTGGGAGACCTAGCTGATCTCACAGGCTCTTTCCTGAGGCTTCTTTGGAGGAAACACCATCCTCATCAGAGGGAGGTCTGGTTTACCAAGAATGACCCATGGCCTCTGAAAGTTGCCTTCCTAGGAAGAAGCCAAATTAGAACCAGAGCTGTGCACTCCAGACTGTTTTGTTTTTTTTCTCACCCCAGCAGACAGTCTGCCCTAATCATTTCGTGCAAGTTTTATATGTAAAGCTGGTTAAAAACTCACCTTACAAGATCCAAAGGCTGGTATTTGTACCACACGCCCCAGGAGGCCCAGCACTCATAGAGCAGGTGTCGGTGGTTTTCCGCTCCGTGGGTTCGAATGGAGTTTTTACTTCTGTAACCTCCCTGAGAGGGAAACACCACTGCCCATGAGCTGATGCCCACAGGAGCCACAAGGAAAGTTAACAGGAATACTAGTCTCTTACAGCAGAAGTAGCAACAGAGATGATGCGAGGAAAAAAAAAAAAGGATCCATACTATTGAAGGGAAAGAAGTGTGATGAGTTACTCTGGACATTATCTTGCTGAGGATCCTGTGTAGTAAGAAGCACGTGTTTGCTAGAATCACGCAGGTTTGATCTGGGTTCAGATTCAGTTCTGCTTTCTTAGCGAGGAAACCTTAAACCAGGGGTCCTCAAACTTTTTAAACAGGGGGCCAGTTCACTGTCCCTCAGACCATTGGAGGGCCGGACTATAGTTTAAAAAAAAAACTATGAACAAATTCCTATGCACACTGCACAGATCTTATTTTGAAGTAAAAAAACAAATACAATATTTGTATTTGCATGTGGCCCACGGGCTATAGTTTGAGGACCCCTGCCTTAAACTGTCTGAGCCTTGGATTCCTAGTTCATAATGGGACTAATAATAATAATATCTGTCTCATTAGGTTTCTTCTGTGATTTGAGTGAATAAGGTGTCTTGCTTCCTGATAAGGAGGCCATGCCCAAGACCTAGTAGTTCTCTTTCCCACCTTTGTCAAGAGTGCTCGGTGAACAGCCACAGCTGTAACCTTGTCACTGGCCTTATCTCTGAGAGAACGCAGGAATGTAAACGCTGGACGTCACCTCAAAAATCAGACAAATTCAAAATGAATTTGACCTTCACATTGAACAAATGAGGAGACCAAGGGCCAGAGAGGTGGGGTTTACCGAGTTCAGGTAATGGCAACACTAGATTCATAAACAGAAAAGGCACTCACTCCCTGGAGGGGACGTAATTATTGGGAAGTCCTTTGAACCTGAGAAGTCCTTTTTTAGTAGAAAGTAAATAGCGCTGAGAGACAGGAAACGGGTTCTAGTCTCAGCTCAACTACCAACTCCCAGTGTGACTAGAGGTGAGCTAATCTTTCTCTAGACCTCCAAATTTCTTTTGATTTTTAACATGAAACAAGGGCACCAATATCTGCCCTTCCTGCCCCTGAAGGTTGTTATGAGGATAAGTAATGTAATCAAGGTCAACTCAGAGTAAAAAGTCAAAGGAGGAATTATATTATTGCAGCTGCTGTTAATAATTTGGATGTTCTTTTAGGGCTTTACCAAGATAGGAAAACCACAGAGATGGCCCTGAGTTACTCGGTGAGGTTTCATAGCTGCTTCTCCTTAGACACTCTCATGCCTGCCATCCACTCACCTGCACAGGTACATCTGCCCATCTACCATTGCTCAGACACTGGCCTTACTAGGAGCAAGGGCTGGGCAGTGGGAGGGCACAGGACTTACTGAAACTATTTCTTGGCAACGAATAACTCCAGGAAGCCACGAGATGTTTTGGTGGGAAATGTGTCTTGGGAGTCCAGAGGCACCTGTGTGTGGCTCCAGAAAACCTTTGTGTCAACGTGTTTGCTTCTGTGACACTAAAGGATCATTCCAAAAGTGTTTCATGGCAGACTGCAACCAGGGTCTCAGACCAGAGCTGCTAGTTTTGTTAATGAACCAGGTCTTAAAAATTCTAAGTCACTTTTTACATCCTCCTGGTGCTGAAATCGAGGGAAGAAACACTGTTAGCCAAATGAAAAGGCTTGCCATTTGGGGACAGTTGGAACTGTCCTCTAAACTGTTTCTTGGCAAACTGTTAACATTGTTCCCAAAATTATTGTTTAACAATAGTTTCTCCCTGGTGTTTGTGATGTTCTAGAGGACATGCACCATGATACGTATCTTTGTATTTTCTATATCATACAGTGACCAGTATAGCGTAGGGGCACAAAACTATGAGCAAGACAATAATGTCTCATCAATAATAAAAACTACACGTGTAAAGAGAATTCTGGGTGAAATAACTCAAAAGCTAATGGAGAAATTGAGTTAAGGGTAACCACGGTTACATTTACAAAGGTCCTAATATATGACAAAGAGTGTATAGTAAATGAGAAAATAAAAAAGTAAAAAAGAATTGTGTGTTTTAAAAAAATCAGAATGCATATTTCTTAAAAGAGCAATGATAAGTACAATACCATTAATTTCCATTTCTCACCCTTTGGTTACCAGAGACTTTGCAAGATGGCTTCCTACCACTCTAAAGAATAACTATACACTTCTTTGTTGCAAAGACTATGTATTTCAGGAACATTTCCCACCTGGGTCTGGTGAAATTTTCAATGCCTCTTTAATTTTATGACTTGGAGTCCCTCAGCTATTCCTCTGAATTCATGCTGAGTGGCTGCTGTTTCAAGTATTCTTACAATTATATTAAAAGACACATAGAAATAAACCAAACTACGCTGGGTCACAAGGCAAGGAGGCCTAATTATCTACTGAACAAATTAAATTCACGCTGAACAAATGTCACATCAACAAACTCAATTAATGGCTGTTCCCAGAAGCTGATTGCAAAACAAGAAACTGACAGAAGAAGGGGCAGGACATACCTCGTGCAGAGGGAACGCAGCTTCATAGGAGCCATTGGTAAGCAAGCGATTCAGACCTAAACAACACAAAGTCCAATCCCAATTAGTACAGAGTTCCAACTCTCACAATGTTCAAGACTAATGTAAGGGTGGCACTTTTTGATGAAAGCCATCTAGGTTTTCAAAAGGGATGGGAACCCCAACAGTTTAGAAACAGAGTTGCTAGGAAACTGGAATCAAGAGCTGGGAATTTTCAAACAGAAAACAATGAAGCTAGTACAGTGCCTGGCATAGAGACAAATGCTCTAAGAGAAGGGGACAGATTTATCATATTGAAACATGATGCTCCCTCAGGAGCTCTTCTGTTTTTACCCAAAAGCTTCAAATATGGACAAATCTAACTCTCCTGCATTGGACTAGTGTTGTGTCTTTGGAAAAATCCTCTTGTCCTCAGGCCTCCATGTTCTCATCCATAAAATGGGGGAGAGGTGTCAAATATGTGGAGATTGAGCCACGCTGGCCAGGCTGGATATAACTTTTAAAACAGCTTTATTGAAGTAACTGACACATAATAAATGACCTATGTTTAAAACATGCAGTTGGAGGAGTTTTGACGTGTATACACCCAGGAAATTATCAGCACAATCAAGAGAATAAACATGTCCGTCACCCGCAAAGCTTTATCATGCTACTTTGCAATCTCCCACCCTCCCTATGCCGTCTCCAAGGCAAACATTCGTCTGCTTTCTGTCACTATCGATCAGTCTGCATTTTCTGAAGTTTTATATGAATTGAATCATACAGTACTTCTTTCACCGAGTACAATTACTATTTTTTAAAATATGTTTTATTAAGTTATTGATTTGTTTCTTTTATTTATGAAACCAGAGGTAACAATGAAACATCAGGTTAACAGAGCATTTGCAGTTTTACTTCATGTTTTTTAGCATAATGCCTGATCCAGAGTAGACAATTCACTCTGTAATTGGTTATTTCTAATTTCCAGTTCAACATTACGTATTTTCATAGTTCTTGAATAGAACTCTCCACTTTTCATGAAATGAGAAAACTAGCAAGAAAATTTCTTACTAGTGGTAATATTAAACTTCCTGTGTTCCTTCAGAACATTAAAAAAACCAAACCCAACACTTTCTCTGCCCTTCGTTTGTCTTCATCTTGACTAGTTGTAAAAACAGCTCAGTTTTGAGATGAAAAATTAAGCACAATAATTGCTGTAGGGCCTCCTTATACACAGTTTTTGAGTGTATAAAGATGCTATGGTTAGACTTTAATCATGTTAAAAGATTTTTCAATTCAGTTCAACAGCACTTCTACAAGATGCCAGGTCCTGAGCTAGGCAAGGATACAAAGATAAACAAGGCAACTCTTTTACAATTAAGGAGCCTATTATCTAGATGAGCAGTTTTCAGATGAAGATTCTCAGCACACCAGTGTGTCACAGTGAGTGATGAGGTGTGCCTCAGACTATAATACCAATATTAGTAGAGGCATTATTTTAAAAAATATTTGCACTTTATAAAGTAATTCAGAATAGCTACTGCCAAAACCATTTCACTTGTTTTCAAGAAACAATATTCACTGGGGAAAAAAGTATGATAAAAATTAGGTATAGCATATCCTAAGTTTGTTTTAAAAATCACATGGACAAATAGGGGGTAAATATAAAGAAGCAATTAATGCAATATTGACATTATTTAGCACACCAAAATGTTAACAGTGGTTCTCGTTAGGTGGTTAAATTTTCATGTCACTGAAAAGAAATAATTCACGGTAATAAGAGTTGTAAGTGATTCATTATCAAATAAACACACAAAAACAACTGCCATGTGAATTCAGAGGAGGGACAACTCCTTCAAGCTAGAATGGTCCCGGAGCACTTTATGCAGAGGGTGCGTCTCAAGGATGGACGACGCTGCAGAGAATATGAAGACATGCTAACCTACTACACTACTGCGGTTCAGACAGGTTCAGTGTCACCATTCCTACCCACACTGACTCACTGAAAATACTACTCCAGTGATACTCAGATCTGGACTGAGTAACGGTCTATCTCTCCCTATTACATTTTGATGTATGCAGCTTGGGATCAAAGTAATTTTTGGCAGCTTCAATGTACTAGTGACTCACACTGAGCTGCATTTAGCTAAGCCTCTCCAGTCTGTTGCTTCCCCGATGTTGAGCAACATTTCTCCCACAGCACCAGGGTACCTGCGTTGCTGACTGTGAGTGTAAGACTTTACATTTACAAACTCTCAAATGTCATCATGTTGGATTTGGCTGAGATGCCCAGATCCCTGCGCTCAGTTAGGCTCCTGACTCCAATGGCTAACATACTAAAGGCCTCCTTCCAGTCTCCACTCCCCCTGAAAGCTTGATGGGCAGGCTGGTTAGGCTAAGTGCCAGTTATCAATTTATCGCCCCCTTTCATCCTAAACCAGCGGTTTCAACCTGTGGGTCGCGACCCCTTTGGCGGTCGAACGCCCCTTTCACAGGGGTCGTCTAAGACCATCCTGCATATCAGATATTTACATTACGATTCATAACAGTAGCAACATTACAGTTATGAAGTAGCAACGAAAATAATTTTATGGTTGGGTCACAACATGAGGAACTGTATGTAAAGGGCCAGAAGGTTGAGAACTACTGCTCTAAACATATTTAATTGCCAGCTTTGCAATAATGGAGCTGGACCTTGTAAATATTTCTCCTTTGTCCGATGGCACAATGTGGAACGTTGTTAGCAGAAGGCCCTGGAGGGACACTAGAGGAGGGAGGAGTTTGTCTCCCTGATACCAGTGTGCTCCTCTCAGCAGGCTTCTTCATCACATGGTTTCCATGGCACCCAGCTGCTGCAGTGCACGGTGGCGAGCAGTACAGGGCACCTCCCCAAGGGCAGGAGTCCCCTGAATAGCCTCACAGAGCAGTGCTGCTGATGCAACACTCCCAACGAATGGCTTCCCCAGAACCCTCTAGGCAGCTTCTTCCTGTACAGGAGGGGCAGATTCCCAGAGTTCTGTTGGCCTGGAGCCCCCAGCCAACTGCTCTGCTGCCCAGTGAACCACAGCTGCACCCCATCCTACAGGGTATGGAGCTCAACTCTGTTGGGGGGAGTCTTTTAGGGTGGTGGCTGCTCCTAACACCTGTTATTCCTCTTTACAGTTCTTCTTACTCTTTACTGGTCAATCCTCCATTCCTCCAATCCTGTCACAGCTGATTTTTTATATTAAACTTTCCCTCCTCAAATTATGTGGGATTTTTGTCTCCTGATTAGACCCTGACTGAGATAGCTCATTATTATTCAAACCACTGATAAAAATCTGTTAGGACAGAGATAAGGATAAAGCCACCCAAATCTTCCTGATAATGTAATAATCTGTTTAATGAGGCAGGAAATTTGGTAATATAATATGGAAAAGTTCTTGTAATAATGTACAAAGTATAAGTTGTGGGAGCTGTTTAATGGAGGAGGTGATTATCTGGAGAATTTACTGATGTGGGAAAGCTCATCTCTGCACTTGCATTTTCCTCTGTCTGCAATGCCTCCCCTTCCCCACTCCATCTGCCCACACCTGTCATGTCTTAGTTCAAAGTTCAGCTTCTTGGTGAAGCGTTCCCTGACCACTCCATCTCAGCTTGAACTCACCCCCACCCCTTCCTATTCTATTTCTGAATCATTATCCATGTCAATTTTTTCATGTTACTTAGTTGTCTGCTTTTAACTTCTTAAACATAAGCTTCAGGAGAGAATTGTGCTCATCTCCCCAACATCTGGTCCAGTGCCTGGCACGTAATGGGCATTCCATAAATATTTGTTCAATTGAGAGAATTCCTTCATGATCTTAGATAAATGAGATAGCAAGCTATTGAACAAAGAGATCTAAGGATGCTATTAAGATGTTACACGTGTGAGTTACCCATCAAGGGCAAAGTCAGAGGTTTCACAAATGATGAGCATTTCTGGAATGGATATTAACTTCATAAAGCCACAGGAAAAAATGTGCAATCCCCCCAAAATCAAATACAGCTTTTTTTATACTAATGCACTAACTTACCAATTTTGTTTTTTCCTTCTTCATACTTTATTCTTTGTAAAATATGGTGTACGATTCTACTTCTCGTGGCGTTGTTGAAGAAAGTGTCTTTGTTGTGTATGATGAAGCTGCACACACATAGTGAAAACACAAGGTGAGGACTCATTGCAGGTGAGGGATCTAATCTTTGATACCATTTGGTATTGCTCAGACATGGTATCTTCAATCACTCATAGAGAAGGTATGTCTAGAACAGCATCAGAGAGCCCAGAGGTCACACCAGGCGCAGGAGGCTCACAAATCTGAGTACTTTTGGTTCTCAGTCTCCCAAGCATGAACATCATGATGCCAGGAAGGAGCTAGAGCTAAACAAAATTAAGAAACCTAATAATAAACTAATAGCAAGTCTAGGCCTCATGTCTTGTTTTTTTTTTTCTTCTCAGTATGGTCATTAGATAAATTAAACTAAAAATGTATATTATTCTTAACTTCCCTTCTTTTTTTCCCCATACTGATTTTTCAGGAATTTTGTTATCTGAAACTGGCTTGGGTGGTGGATATAGGAGTTCAGTAATGAGCTCTGAATCAGGAGTGAGGTGAGTATCTAGAAATCACCTCTGCAGGACCACCCAGCCCCCAAACTTTCCCACAGGGCTATACACACCCCACGACCTTGGTTGTTTTTTTTAGTAGGTGTTCCTATGCTACTGAGAGGTTCCTACGCTCAAGTGATAAATGAGCTTCCAGAACTATGTAATCCAGCATGAAACAGCCTTGTCTTCAATCACTCATAGAGAGGGCATGTCTAGACACATGAACTGATTCTTTAGAGAGGTATTTTCCTCTCAGAAATGGGTTGATAGAAAACTAGAGCTACTATAATTGTTTCATACATTGTAAAGGACTCAACAAATTTTTATTGGTACTTTATATGAGTTGGACACCACATAAGACATATCAATGTTGGTGGCGATTGCCCTCAAAATCCAGGTCAGAAGACACCTCTCCAGCAAGTCTCCCCACTCCTCCAATTGCACTCCTGCCCCCCAAAAGAATCCATTACTCTCTCTGCTGAGGTTTTTCTTATCTTGAAACGCATGAATTTATTGATCATGCTATACTGTCATTTATTTGTTTTCATTCATTTACTCAGCGAATGTTTTCTGAGGGCAGTCTGTAAGGAACTGATTATACAATGCTAAATAAAGCAGATGCTTACAAGCCAGTGGGGAAGACAAACCATAGCAGAAATGAACATGATCGTAGGACAAAGATGGACAGAATCCTCCTCCTTCTGTGTGCTTTTCTCCCCTATAAGACCATGAACTCATTCAGGACAAAAGGCCGAGTCATCATAATTTCTGTGGCTCCAGAATCTAGTGAGTGCCTGGTACACAGTACGGGTGGAGATTTTTGAATAGCAGTAAATGAGGGTCATGGGGAGTTATGTTGGAAAAAAAGGCTATTAAATGCTTTTCTTCAAGAAGATGGATTCTCAAGAGCTGTTCAAATGATGGGAGGACGAGATAAAACTGGCCTGGGTGGTCAGGTATGGGGTCTGGTTTGAGAATGGGATTGGGAAGGTCAGTTTGGGAAAACATATAAAGGAGAGAAAGGCCAGAGAGTATGAAGACAAAATGTATAAAAACAAAATATGAAGACACATTTCCTCTCACTTTTACTGCTCTTGGATTCTGTTACAGAATGCTGTTCTCAGAAAAAGGTAATGTGACTTGATGGATGAGAGATAAATGCTACGTGGGTGAAAGTCACAGCATTTATCTGATATTGTCTGTAGGGTTTTGCGAAAACATTTTGAGGCATTAAAGAAGAAGAGGGGAAAACCAAGAGTTACCTTGAATGTGGTTAGCTTTATTTTATCCTCCTCTGTTTATCCACCTTATTTGAGACAGACCATTACATTTTAACACCAAATAAAAATGTCATAAAGAAATAGACGACAAATAAAAAAGCCCATTGGGACTCACAATTTCAGGGGATGATGGAAAGCTGATAAGCACGGCCATGCCTGACAAGATTCTGGGCTAAAAGCCCACGTCCCTCCTCCTTTGCATGGATTCCTGCTTCCTTCTTTTTAGTACATGACGTTGTGAGCTCAGGTAATAGGTCTCTAACATAAGCGCTACAGACAAGCTTCAAAAGTGTGTTTTCCTCTTCTTTACACATACGTTGTACCTGGAGCCTGGAGATTCTATAGTGGGAACAAACTTATGGAGCCTGGGCCAGCCACTGTTCTAAGCACTCTGGATGTTAACTCATTCAATCCTTATGATAAGCCAGGAGTTAAGTCCTTTATAGCCTCACCTTACAGGTGAAGAATGAGAGAGGTTAAGTGATGTGCCCCAAGTCAGTCAACTAATAAGAGGTAGAGGCAACTAATAAGAACTCGGGCAGTCTCACCTGCCTCCCTGGAGATTGGCTTTCCTTGGGATCAGCCCAAGAGTTGCTCTGCTTGGAATGCTTTCCTTGCTTCTCATCATCCTTTGACCCTCACCTCAGGGCACATCCCCCTCCACGGGTGTGCCTGACTCCTCCACCCTCACCCCTAAAAAGTGATGCGGGCTATAAAATGAAGGAAGGAGAAAACCTTTCATGGAGGAGGGAGGCGGGCTTTTAGCTCCAATATCACTCCTGCTTTCCCTTAGACTTAGAAGGGAGACAGCCTCAGTAGAAACCCTGGCTTTGTCACTTTCTATGTGGTATTAGGACCACCCCTCAACTTCTCTGGGTTTCGGTTTCCTCATCTGTGAAAATGGGGATAACCCTGTAATCTAAGCATGTCAACCTCACGGCCCATGGGCCACATGTGGTCCACCATGAATATTTTTACGGTCCAGCCAATATAAGGGTGTGAGCAGTTATTTACAATTATGAGAGAAAATAAGTCTCCTGTCAGATCCAGAATTAAAGACATTCACCTTGAGTCAGTTTTGAAAGTAATCACTGCGAACAAGATTTCCCCTGAAGTAAGAAAGACAGTAGCAGAGAAGAGATGCCAAGCGCCAGGAAGAAAACATTCATTTTACCATTGCTCTTGTTCTTTATTTTTTATACTATACTTTTCGAAATAAACCTACGTTTCTATGAAAATTGAAGCTTTTGGGGGTTTTTGCAGCCCATATAAACTTAAACCTTGTTTATTTGGCCCATGTTAGCCTTTGAGTTTGACAGGCTTACTGTAATCTCTCATAGGGTTTCTGTAGAATTGGGCAAGATGATGAGCACTGCTGAGTCCAATGTCTGGCATTCAATAAGCGCTCTAGGCTGTCATCATTGCTCTCACTGCTGTGACATTATATAGACTTTGTCCACCTGCACACCTGACTTCTCAGTGTGAGCTTCTTGAGGCAGGGACCAGCCATGCTCTCATCTCTGTATCCCAGCACTAATACGGGGTTTGGCACATGGCTTGTCCTTAAAGATGACTCAACTGAGCTGACCTTTTGGAGAATACGGAGGTTATGAGAATCTCATCTCCTTCTACCTTGGCCTCTACTCCTGCTTCCTGGAAATCTTTCCACTCACTCCATCTTCCCAGCTACCATCTGAGCCATTCATTCTCTCCACAAACCACCTGTGTAAGGATCTTCCTGTAGGGTGTGGAGACATCTCATTTTGTCTGTCACTCTTTCAAAGTGGAGGCTAGGAGAAGAACAGCGATGATTGCCTACATCATGGTTCTCAAGCTTTTCTTAGCCACTTAGCCAAGACAACTTGCTTCAAAGGAAATCACACACACACACACACACACACACGACAGAAGCCAAGCTGTTCTGTCAAACATAAGCCTTGGTGTTCAGTCTCTGAGGTGTCCGGGCTCCACCCAGGCTTAGAAACCCAGCTGTTTGCACACATTGCTGCGGGGGCAACAAATTGGTACAAATTCTGTGAGGGCTACTTGACAAGGTCTATCAAAATTATGCATATATCCTCATTACAGCAGTTCCTCTTGTGGACATTTATTCTACAAAAACACTCACCCACATGCAAGGTGACAGATGTACAAGAATGTTCATTATGGCGTGGGTTATAACAGCAAAATCTGGAAATGGCCTCAATAATTCATCGGGGGGAGGGGGCGGAGGCGAATAGGATAAATAAACGATGGTACAAATTTCAATGTAATACTAGGCAGCTGTAAAAAGATTAAGGGTGCTCACTGTAGACATAAAAAAACCTCTGAGATACTGCAAGAGTAAAAACAAGGTTCAAAACAGTCACATGGCTATGTGTGTCGGAGGAAAACATGTGCAAATATAGCTATCAACATGCTGACATATATTTGCTGGTGCATACATAGAATACCTAGGGGAGGACACAGACACATCTGGAAACACTGGCTGCCTCTGGGGAGAACTCAGTGGCTGAGAAGGTAGGAAGAAAAGGTCTCTGTACACACTTAGAAAATTTTTATCACATGTACTACCTATAAAAATGGAACCATTTTTTTTTAAAAAGAAAATTTAAAGAGAAAAATGGAATTTCTGTTCTAGGTCTGTTCTCCCCTCCCCCCTTGAGAGGTGAGGAGGGGAAACACTGCTGAATTGGTAGAGGAGGATCACTGACATGATTGAGGATCTAAATATACATTTTCTTCTCCTGCCCCTTTGGAGGGGTCAGTAATATGCACCAAATCACACAACCAGCAGGTAGTGAGGAGGGATAAAAAAACATCTGTCTGGCCCTGGCTGGTGCAGCTCAGTTGGTTGAGCATCCTCCTGTGCACCAAAAGGTCACAGGTTCAATTCCCAGTCAGGGCACATGCCTGGGTTGCAGGCTTGATCCTCAGTAGGGGGCATTCAGGAGGCAGCCGATCAGTGTTTCTCCCTCTCTGTCCCTCTTCCTCCCTCTCTCTCTGAAATCAATTATTTATTAAAAATCACCTCCTTACTATCCAGCTAAGGCAGTCACTCTCCTGCCTCACAAGTTGCTCTCTCTGTATTCCATTATCTTGTTTTATTTCCTTCTTATATTTTCCTCTCTAAAAATTATTATTGGGGTGGGAGTGGGAAAAGATGTACCCACATGTTCATTGCCTGCCCTAACTTGAATATTCTAAAAATCAGTTTATTTTATCATTATGCTTTTTATGTAACACTACTTGGGG